ATGCATCTACATCTTTTAGGCAACGCAAATAATGGCTCATCCTTTCGCATAGTTATGCCCAACCTATCCTTCATATCCATGGTCTCTTTACAGACATTACCATCAAGTTCCCAGTCAAATTCATGAAGCAACGAGCCTAAAATTAGGTTCAGCATTCGGTGAGCCAAGGGCACACCTGCACACATTCTTCTCCCAGCTCCAAATGGAATCAATTCATAATTTTGCCCCTTGTAATCAACTTTAGACCCCAAAAATCTCTCAGGTTTAAATGACAATGGGTCACTCCATACCTCTGGGTCTCTCCCAATCGCCCAAGCATTTATCAAAACTTGTGTATTCTTGGGAATGTGATACCCGTTGAAATTGGTGTCTTCCATTGCTCTTCGCGGAACTAGGAACGGAATTGGAGGATGTAAGCGTAGAGTTTCTTTGATCACGGCCTGCAAGTATGGAAGGTTTTCAATGTCACTCTCTTCAAACATTCCGTTTGGTCCAACCACCTCAGCAAGTTCAGCTTTTGCTCTGTTTAATGAGTCAAGGTTGCATAGGAGCTCCGTCAATGCCCATTCAATGGAGCTACTTGTTGTTTCTGATCCAGCCAAAAATATTTCCTGCAGCATACTAATACATTCGGTCATACAGTAAGTAAAAGTTAACTGCCAATTGAAGATTGCAGTAGATGAAGTATACAATTTACCAGTATAAAAATGTTGAGCTGCTGTTCAGAAAGTTTTGCTGGCTCATCCTTTCCATTCCCTTCAAAATCAAGCAACACATCCAAGAAATCTTTCCTCTCCCTATCACCTTCTTTGTTCTCTTCAACTCTTTCCTTAACAAACTTAGAAGCGATCTTCAAGGCCTTACCAAGATCCCTTTTCATCTTTCTCTTCAATCCTTGGGGATCTAGCCAGCGTAAAAAGGGAAAAAAATCTGAGATATTTGGATGCCCGCCCCATTCCATCAGCCCCATCATTGAAGTAAAAAACTCCGCACCATCCTTTGAATCAGGGTCCAATAAGTCACGCGACAGCATAAGGTTTCCTAGCAAGTTAAAGGTCGAGAGGAACACGAAACGTGCCACGTGAATGCAACGTCGCCCGTCTCCGTTTCCCTGAAGTGCCTCCTTTTCGATCCATAATAACATGTCGTTAACACATTTTCTCCGTATAGAGGCTGTTTCATTTATGCGTTTGTGGACAATCATATCAACTGTAACGAGGCGTCTTAGTACCCGCCAAAATGAACCATATGATGCCAAGGCTAATGAACTTTTGTCATAGTCGTAAGCCCGCATGATTTCAGTAACGGTGCGTTCAGCAAAGGAAAGGTCATGATTCTTGAAGAAATCGGAGGCTGCTTTGGCTGAGAGAACTACCATCGTGTTTATGGCACCAAATTTTAGCCAGATAACTTCACCATACTTGTCCCTTAAGTCGGTAAGGGTGCGATGTGGCATTGAACCAAGCTCGAACATGTTTCCGAATATTGGCCATCCTGGTGGTCCGGGGGGGAGCTGTTTAAGGCTGGATTTCCTCCTGCGGAGGAGGAGGGTTGACGCCGAGATGATGATAAGGAAGACAATGAAAGAAATAAGCGACATGGGATATTTTTTTTTGCTAGAAGATTGTGAAATTTGATAGGATATATAAACACAGATGGGTTTAATTAAATTGGTTTGACTAGCATGCAACAGCTAGCGAGGCCGTTTACAACTAAAGAAATTGGACAAAGTCTACAAATTGACCACAACTGCTGTTTGTATGCGGTAAAGAAATAATTAAGTTACATTTGTTTATATCCGAAAGAGAACAAATAGCTGAGATACCTTTTGATTTGGATCTTGCTAAAGAAATAGCTTTTGATTCTTTCAAATCAAGACAAAAACTGAGCTCCTTTACTCTTGTTCTTATCACCAATCGATTCTGAATTACTTTAAATTTGTTTGATTTGATATACATTGAATGTTTTTTGAACTTCTAAATTCTAGTAAATGAATTTGTTACTTGGGGTCACGTAATTTTTCAATTTTGATAATAATAACAAATTTATAATTTAATAGCAAAAAAAACTAATGATTTTTACTAGGCTTTGCACTTTAACACGTTCACTTTTTAAATCATAGACAAACCACAGTACTTTAAAAATACCAAGAAACGGATTTAAAAGATTCTAGGCAACGATCGCTGAGAGATATTAGGTTGAGTATCAAAATGTCAATGAAAATCGAAAAGTGTTCTCAAAAGTATATCTCACATATCCCAAGAGTGTTTTCCTCCAGCATACATGATACACGTGTAACATGTGCAAATTAATTTATTTTTAATTCAAACCTCCCGAAAAAATATGTTTTTGTTCCGCTCCTCCCTCCGTGTCCTTTTTTTTTTTNGGGAATGTGATACCCGTTGAAATTGGTGTCTTCCATTGCTCTTCGCGGAACTAGGAACGGAATTGGAGGATGTAAGCGTAGAGTTTCTTTGATCACGGCCTGCAAGTATGGAAGGTTTTCAATGTCAATCTCTTCAAACATTCGGTTTGGTCCAACCACCTCAGCAAGTTCAGCTTTTGCTCTGTTTAATGAGTCAAGGTTGCATAGGAGCTCCGTCAATGCCCATTCAATGGAGCTACTTGTTGTTTCTGATCCAGCCAAAAATATTTCCTGCAGCATACTAATACATTCGGTCATACAGTAAGTAAAAGTTAACTGCCAATTGAAGATTGCAGTAGATGAAGTATACAATTTACCAGTATAAAAATGTTGAGCTGCTGTTCAGAAAGTTTTGCTGGCTCATCCTTTCCATTCCCTTCAAAATCAAGCAACACATCCAAGAAATCTTTCCTCTCCCTATCACCTTCTTTGTTCTCTTCAACTCTTTCCTTAACAAACTTAGAAGCGATCTTCAAGGCCTTACCAAGATCCCTTTTCATCTTTCTCTTCAATCCTTGGGGATCTAGCCAGCGTAAAAAGGGAAAAAAATCTGAGATATTTGGATGCCCGCCCCATTCCATCAGCCCCATCATTGAAGTAAAAAACTCCGCACCATCCTTTGAATCAGGGTCCAATAAGTCACGCGACAGCATAAGGTTTCCTAGCAAGTTAAAGGTCGAGAGGAACACGAAACGTGCCACGTGAATGCAACGTCGCCCGTCTCCGTTTCCCTGAAGTGCCTCCTTTTCGATCCATAATAACATGTCGTTAACACATTTTCTCCGTATAGAGGCTGTTTCATTTATGCGTTTGTGGACAATCATATCAACTGTAACGAGGCGTCTTAGTACCCGCCAAAATGAACCATATGATGCCAAGGCTAATGAACTTTTGTCATAGTCGTAAGCCCGCATGATTTCAGTAACGGTGCGTTCAGCAAAGGAAAGGTCATGATTCTTGAAGAAATCGGAGGCTGCTTTGGCTGAGAGAACTACCATCGTGTTTATGGCACCAAATTTTAGCCAGATAACTTCACCATACTTGTCCCTTAAGTCGGTAAGGGTGCGATGTGGCATTGAACCAAGCTCGAACATGTTTCCGAATATTGGCCATCCTGGTGGTCCGGGGGGGAGCTGTTTAAGGCTGGATTTCCTCCTGCGGAGGAGGAGGGTTGACGCCGAGATGATGATAAGGAAGACAATGAAAGAAATAAGCGACATGGGATATTTTTTTTTGCTAGAAGATTGTGAAATTTGATAGGATATATAAACACAGATGGGTTTAATTAAATTGGTTTGACTAGCATGCAACAGCTAGCGAGGCCGTTTACAACTAAAGAAATTGGACAAAGTCTACAAATTGACCACAACTGCTGTTTGTATGCGGTAAAGAAATAATTAAGTTACATTTGTTTATATCCGAAAGAGAACAAATAGCTGAGATACCTTTTGATTTGGATCTTGCTAAAGAAATAGCTTTTGATTCTTTCAAATCAAGACAAAAACTGAGCTCCTTTACTCTTGTTCTTATCACCAATCGATTCTGAATTACTTTAAATTTGTTTGATTTGATATACATTGAATGTTTTTTGAACTTCTAAATTCTAGTAAATGAATTTGTTACTTGGGGTCACGTAATTTTTCAATTTTGATAATAATAACAAATTTATAATTTAATAGCAAAAAAAACTAATGATTTTTACTAGGCTTTGCACTTTAACACGTTCACTTTTTAAATCATAGACAAACCACAGTACTTTAAAAATACCAAGAAACGGATTTAAAAGATTCTAAGCAACGATCGCTGAGAGATATTAGGTTGAGTATCAAAATGTCAATGAAAATCGAAAAGTGTTCTCAAAAGTATATCTCACATATCCCGAGAGTTTTCTCCTCGAGCATACATGATACATGTGTAACATATGCAAATTAATTTATTTTTAATTCAACCCTCCCGAAAAAATATGTTTTTGTTCCGCTCCTCCCTCCGTGTCCTTTTTTTTTTTTTCTCAAGTACTTGTTTATGAATGATAAAAGTAATACAAGTTTGAAAAATGTTGTATTCATAAGTAAACATCCTTATTTTGTATATCATATAATTTGTTAATAGATTTAGTATCACTACATCACTAATCAAATTATTTCATTATTGTTATGAATTATGTTGTTAACAAAATTAATTATCACATCACTAATTAGGGTATATATATATATGTTTGAAAGCATGTGAAATTTCATTTTTTTTTTTTTTTTTTTTTTAAATTCGTGGCCGTGTTTCGGAAACCGAAGTTGGACATAAACAAGAAAAAATATTTAATTTTGAAAGCATAAAATAATTGTTTTGGTCTATTTCATTAATGTGATATCAGACTTGTCACATGGTACTAATAAAAAACCAATTTCACAAACTATAACAACCAGGTTTCATATATATAATTTCTGGAACTGCCGGATACCAAGTCTTGAGAATCAATTTTATTTAGGCCGGTATTAGTTAATTAATTAATTAAGTTGACTTAAGTATAACTTTAATTAGTTTTTAACATACGAAATATTTGACACAGCCATTTGTAGAACCAATTATTAAATAACATATAGGGAGGGCATCTCTGCTTGGTCTAGGCACATCAGGAAACATTTGTACTGCCACAATATGGACAAATTAATTGAACGAGTCAAAGATATTTTCCAAATTCAAATTTTAAAATAATTTTATCCATTGTTTTACCAATTGGATTATCTATTGAGTATCATCAGTATCAAAACTCATCATAACTATTTAGCATTTATTTAAAAACTGTCCTTAAATCTTAAACTGTTGTGAGGTAGGTTTATGTAACCATGAGGTGGTTTCAAAATATGGCTTTCCATCGCTCGCCCTTGCGACATTTGGCACAAAGTGCATAAGATCATCATCATCACCTTAAAGCTTACCATGTAACATGTGGCAATGTGTTGGTCGAGTTCCATTTGCGATGATAGGCAGCCATAGACTATATAAATCCCTATTACTTTCATTGTCGGATCGGATGTACGGGTGCATATGAGCCGAGCCGAGTAGTGGTTGGCTCGAGCTCGGCTCGACTAAGTTGGAGGGCTGCTTGAGCTTGAGCTCGGCTCGTTTAATAAAATGGCTGGCTTGAGCTTGGCTCGGCTTGAACACTTACGAATTGAGCCAAGCTCGGTTAAAACACAATGCATGCAAAATGGCTTATGTCTTATGTTAGCCCAAGCAAAATATCAAACACTTAGATTACAAATCAACAAAGCAAAAGAAATTCAACTTCAATTTAATAAACTTCACCAAAATCCCAGAATTCAAACTGGGAAAATGAGTCAACCACTTGATCCCAAGAACACTTATCCAAAAAACAACATTCAAAGCATAATAAAGCTTTAGATTCAACAAACATTCATAAAAAACAACAACATCCAAAGCAAAACACAAGCTGTAAATTAACAATCCTTCATCAAAAACAAAATTCAAAGCAAAACACAAAATACAAGCAAACATTAAGCATATGGAATTAAGTGCATGGGAAACAAAAAACCATCATATGAGTACTACTTCTTCTGCGAATCATATTAACAACAAGACCAGCAACTTCTCTTCTCTTGCATCCACCTAACCCACGAAGCTTCTCTCTTGCATCAACAACAAGCCAAAGATATTGCAAGTTCCATTTGGCTACTAGATAGAAAAAAAAAAAAAAAAAAAAAAAATATAAAGAGAAAAAGTTGCATAAGAGAATGTGATATTATTAAGAGATTCCTATTATAAGAGTTCATACAGATTAAAAAGAAATGTTACTGAGAATGAATCACAAGTGACTAAACTTTTGACTTTCCTCAGTTTGGCAGCCACAAACCAAACAATTATAACCATTAACTTTTCATAATTATATGCATAAGACAGTCACCATTAATTTTCTTTCCCTATAGGTACCCAACTCATCCATCTCTCACACAACTCCAACTCATTTCCAAGAAAACAGCAAACAAAAAATGAGAAAATAAATAAATAAAAATTGTAGGGTGAGGAGCTGAACAGGTAGGGTGGATTTATGTAGAAAGGCATCGGGAGCTGAAGATAAAAGTGGTGGATAGCAGTAGCAGTAGTGGTAAACAACATCCTAGAAAAAACACAGTGGTCTGAGAGAAACTACTAAGGTGCTT